AGGGGGGAGGAGGGGGGGGAGTGTGATGATGGGACGGGCTCTGTTGTCACTTGCCACCCAAGACGTGATTCAGCTCCAACAATTACCATTATCTGTTTCCCAGTTTGACGATACGGGACGAATCTGTAATGATGACGAGTGTTTCCTTCGCTCATTGTTGAAGCTGTTTTCTTCCTCTTCTTATTCCGCACCTACCGTCATTGGGTGACAGCACTCCAGCCATTCAGGTACTCAGCTGTGGGAGGAGGCTTTATAAGCGGGCAGTCTTGTGTTTGCAGCTTATGGAGTGCTGTTTGTGTAAACACTGAGCCCAGTGCACACATTGGTTTCCGAGCCGGTGTTTGGACAGTGCGTAAAGTGAAGAGGATCCGCTGCGTTTTTTCTCATCCTTGGATAAACTTGCTTACTTGTTTTCGCAAAACAAACCCCGGATTGCACCTACAATTTACACGCCATGGCTGCACCGATCAAGTTCAGTTTTTCCGTGAGGAGCATCCTGGACCTTCCGGAGCAGGACGCGGAGGCAGCGCCGCGGTCCTCCCCGCTGTACTCCTCCTCCAGCTCGCCCTACAGCTCCTGGATGGACTGCGACCGGAGCCCCTGCATGTGTAAGTAGATGTCTTCAAACCATATTATTGATGCTGAATTTGTTAAATGCCATTTATTGTAATATCATCCATGATTCCACCATAATGTAAATATATGTTTAACATATTCTCGCTTTATTTTTGAAATAGTAAGGACATTCTTTATTCATTTATTTGAATAGATAGATATGTTCACTGATGTTTTCGTATGCTTTATTTTCAAATGATTAAGGATGGATGGATATATACATACATTGATTCATTGATGCATATAGTTCCATATACATATTAAAGATATATCCTTAGATATATTATAATCCTATAGATATAGAAGGATCCATAGATATATTATATACCTATCAATAGATATCGATGCATATAGATGGATAAAGATAGATAGACACTTGAAAAAATGTGAAAATATCCTTTATTTCTTTATCAATTTGTAACATGCACAATTAATTCTCCAGCTTCTGATGAAGGCAGTTTCGAGGCCTCCCCAGACTCCACCAAGCCGGATGACTCGTCCCTGGACTCGGAGCCGGACCGGAGCAAGAAGAGCAAGAAGCGCCGGGTCCTGTTCTCCAAGGCGCAGACCCTGGAGTTAGAGAGGCGCTTCCGGCAGCAGCGCTACCTGTCCGGCCCGGAGAGGGAGCAGCTGGCCCGGGTCCTCAGCCTGACCCCAACCCAGGTGAAGATCTGGTTCCAGAACCACCGCTACAAGATGAAGCGAGGCCGGGCCGAGGGGCTGCTGTTTCAGGACCTGGACCTCCAGCAGCCTCCGATGCTGCGAAGGGTCGTCGTTCCGATCCTGGTCCGGGATGGGAAACCTTTTCACACCTGCTTACTCGACACGGAAAAACTTGGATGTTTACCTCATTCGTCAGCGGTTCCCTTCCCCTTAGCCTACCCCAGTCTTCAGCACCCGTCCCACGTCGCTCTTCCTCCGCGGTACCAGCAGCACTTTCCCGCCGCGGCGGCCTCCAGATTCGCCTGGAGAGACTTTTGGAGCGACTCGGTCCACTTTAATGCCTTCAAGTGAAGGCCTCATCTCCATGCAAAAACTCATTTAGAATTGCATCAAATGTTTTCTGAATGTTTTGCATATTTTCGAGCAACTTAAACATTTAGATTTTCAATATAGAACGAAAGATATTTTGCACATTTTATTTTGATATTTTACTATTTTTTTAAATGCTGATATTTTCTCATATGGGCTTACTGGTGTAGCCTGTAGATTTTGTAATTATCCGGAGAGATAATGTATAATTATTTGCATGTGAAGCTGTTGAAACATGATAATATTTGTATAAATAATTGTTGTTGAAGACAGATAAGGGACAGTATAGCGTTGGGCCACTATTAGCCTGAATGTTTGAAGGAAAGATTATGTTATTTGTTGTCTTTAAGGAGACTTTCCTTAAAGGTTTTAAGTGTAATATGTTTCTTTTTGTGAACGAAATTATTAATAAAAAGTTTCTCATATTTTGTAAGATAACAATTTACTGTCTTTCTTTTTCAATTATCCCCCAGAAGTGTATAATCTGCATACATTTCTGAAATCAAACAGTTGCACAAACACATATTTTTGCAACTGGATTTCTATTTGAAGTAAAAATGTTTTTTTTAAGTGAAAGACTTTCATGTTTCTTTTTAAAATATTTTATAACTTTTCCTATATTCAATTAAAGCTCTAAGTCTATTCAATGCTTTCTAAATTATAGGTTGAAATCTAAAACATATTTAATTTGCAGAATGTAAAATATGTAGCAGGTCATGACAGGAGGCCTTTTATAATGTTAAAAAACTAATTATGCACCGAAAGCTGAGCAAACATCACTCCTAAAAAGGACTGGCTTTGGTTAAGCATAAGAATACCCAGTAAACATTACAGCCTCTTTCACCACAGCACCCTGTTGTCGTCTGGGCTGCTTTTCACTTTTATACAATTCACTTTTGTTATTGTGAGGCAAGTAGGATAGATACGGCTGCTACACTCAATGTGGAGATCTTAGTTTGTGCTGTGAGTTTGATAAGGATATGGTATTTAAAGTGGCCTGAATTAAAAGAAGATATTGACTTTTTACAAGCTTTAATCCTTGATATTTTACTAGATGACTGAAAAAGTGCATTTGAGGAGATGCAGAATGCACTAAAAGCAAGAAACATGCATTTTGGAGACACAGCAGATTTTAGTGTCCATCAAGTGTAGTGGTTCATTGCCATTCATTTGTGCAGTTACATTTGTTTCGCAACAGCAAGGACAGAAATAAGTGAAAATAAGAGCTAAATAAAACTAAGTAAAAGTAGAAATTATGCAAGAGCAATTTAAAAACTCAATTATAAGGCAAAAGTGACAGTTGTCTGACTATAAGCAGCACATTTAGCAGAGTACAGTGTATGTAAACAACATATTTATCCCCAAACCAACTCCAGTGAAGTTAGATTTAGAGAAGAGCTTGTGTTTGATATCATCCTCTCAAAGTGAAAAATCTAATTTAAACGCTTCACCATGAAAAATATGCTTCAGTGTTTAAAATCATGTCAGTATTTCATCAGTGACGAGGGGGGTCTTCTGCTTTCACGCCCCCTATAATGTTGTTTGCTCGTCCTGTGACCCTGCAGCCCATCGTCCCTGTCACCTGGCCCTTTGTCCCCCTCGCTGGGGCCACCTTGTATCACATATGGAGGGGACTGGCCGAACCCCTCAGCTCGCTGCATCTCCCCTTAAACACTCTTTTTGTCTGCGTGTCTCCCCCTGAATGGACCATTGTCCCTCACCCAAAAGGCACCGAGACAAAATCTTTAGTGTTTCAATTCCCGTGATGTTTAATCAGTCCCTGCGACAAATTTATGAGGTTTAACTGCACAATGGTGTTTTAGAGCATCTTGGGGTTTAAGGGTGACAAAGACAGGCTTTTAGAGGTTGCCATTGGTTTTTTAAGTTGGTCAGAGGAATTGTCTGAAAAGGATGGGTTTGTATTAGCCTGCCCATCCTTTAGTTTTACTCACTGGCCTTATACCCGGGCCCCTTTAGGAAAGTTATAAGGTCCACATAAACCAGGCCACAGGAGGAGGTTTGTTAAGATGTTGAAAATAACATTTAATGCATATTAGGTCCTTATCGCCCTCAGAGTTAAGACAAATTCAATGTTCAAATGTTACTACTGGCATTTACCTTGAATATTCATTTCAAACACTTACGTTTGTCCAAATGTTGGCCTTGGTTTTACAGTTTGTCTTTGTCCATTTGCGAACGATATTTTAAAACGTTGCAATTATAAGCTATGACGTAAACAAGATATAATAGTTTTATAGCAAAACATTGGAATACTGTCATACTGAAAATATGTGTTCTTCATGCTGCTTGTTTAAAGGCTCTTTAAGAAAACAGAAGATTGGATGTAGTTAAAATCTCCTTTTACTTCAAAAAAAGATGTGTAATTTTTGTGGTTAAATTATTTGGTGTTTAGTAGACCTAACGCAGCTTTTTAGGTCGTTGGTTGTTTGACGTACAACACAACTAGTAAATTAGCATTTCATTAACTGGTGTCAGCCTATGAGCTGCAGTATTTATGAAGTGAGTTACAGCCTCTGAGCTCTGAGTGGCGTTCTGCAGGTGAACAGCAGCGGGTCAGGGGAGGACAAGGTTTACTTTGTAGACTCAGTCAGAATACAGCAGCTTAGGTGAAATGTGAACGTTTGGATGATTCAGTTGATGATAGACCACTATGAAATGTTGAAACTGGTGCTAAATGGGTTGAGATGTGACAGATTTAGTATGAAGATGAGCAAATATATAGCCCTCTTATTGACTAAAGTGTTTTCAGCGTTTCCATTTAACTGTTCATTGAGATAAATGGAAAATTATTAACTTAAATAAAGTCAGTGGCAGTAAAACAGTCTATTAGCAGATGAATGTGTTCATACAGTGAGGATTTTCCCATCCTGTGACATACTTTCACCTTCTATCTTAAATACTGTATCTTGTGTGTAACTGGAGAAATGACATGACAAGAAAAGATCAACATATGAACCTAGAATAAGCAATATCAGAAAGAAACAAAACTTAATCAGCTCAGCTAGTAAGAAAACTGACCATTTTGTTTAGCCTCAGCTATTCAATCAACATACTGTTAGAAGCATCTGAGACTGAACGTGGAAACTCCCTAAACTCACATTTTGATACATATACAAATGTTTTTACCAATAAAGTTAATGAATATAATAATATACTAAATTGATTGCATGTATAGCGTTTATCCGTCTTAATGACTCGTCAAAGAGCTTTTACATACAGCGTTCACCCATTCATTCAAACAGAGGCAGGGTGCCACCTGCTAAAGGACGCTAACACACACACACACACACACACACACACACACACACACACACACACACACACACACACAGTGTTTAGGTGCCATGCACACATGTTTTTTTATCTTTTTAAAATATATTATTTCCACATAGGCACTACTAAATAAACAAGACTTATCAGGTTTGGCTGATAGGTCATAATTCCTTTTTCTGCCAAGGAAGATTTTTTGCTAGGTTTTCTTTCTGTTGATACTTGTTAAAAGTATGTGACATGGGCAATACACAGGATGGATACATGAATTATATGATTTTGTCAGCATTGCAAGATTTGAGTGCCTATTATGCAATGTAACACTTCCATTTCTGCCCGCTGTTTTATGTGTTGTCCTTATATGTTTCTTTGTTAAGCGACCTTGGGTTGGTGAAAGGCGCTATATCAATTAAAGTTATTATTATTATTATTATTATTATTATTATTATTATTATAGTTCTCTGTGGGTCTGTTACTGTTGTAGCAGCAACCTTTATCTCTCTCACAGACTCACTCACACTCGCACACCGTTGCAACTTGAGGTTAAGTATCTTGCCCAAGGATACAGAATCAGAATACCTTTATTATTCCCACAGAGGGGAAATGTACATTGTTACAGCAAAAAAGCCAGCCATACCTCTAACATGTTGACTTCAGGGGCCGGTATCGAACCCAAAAACTCACTACTTACCGTTCTACCTCACAGCCACAGTCAGCCCTATAATCAGTCTCAACAAAGGTTTTGTAACATCACATTTAGCTGCATGGGGGCTTGAGACATAACATATCTTTGAATATGCAAAACTGATGCAAAACTGATGCTGGACATGAAAATGGCACCTGTTGTGACAAATACAAAAAAAAATGTTTGTACTTTTTATATATATATTTAACAATATCAAAACAACAGCTAAACATAAAATAAGAATAATAGTAAATATGGAAACAAGGCAATGGCAAATAGAGATAACATTACAGGGCAACAGGGACAGTGCTGTGAGTATTTGCAGCAAATGTTGTACAGTGTATGTAAACACCACACTAATATATCATGTGATTAAGTGATGATACCTATCTTGTCTGTAAATACAGTATATGAAGTACATCGATAGTGTTAACTGTAGTGACATTAAGACACCTTTCCCATCTTCACATGATACTTGAAAGTGATTGTTATGATCCAGCTCTCCACTAGAGGGCGCACTAACCCGCTGTATCACTCCTCCCTTCCTGCAGTAAATGAGATCCAACGGGGTGATGTAGCTCTTTGGATTGAGGCAGCTGTTGATCCACTAGGGGCCGTGCTTCACTAAAAAGAGAAAACACCACCATGCGTTACTCTCTTTGAATCCCCACTACTCTGCTGCTGCTGATTGGCTGGAGAAAAATGGCCTCCGTACTACTATTTGCCCTCTAATGAGTCAAGTTATTTGTCCCTTTATGATTTACAGTCCCTTGGGATGGAGGGTAAAAGAAAGCGATGAATTATTATTTGTGTAATGAATGCAGCATAACTTTTTACATCATAACACTTTCCAAATGTTAGGTGATTGGTCTGTTTTTAGAAATGAATAAGATGTAGTCCACCCTGCCACCCGTGATGTTGAAGCTTTTCTTCTTAGTTTTCTCACCTTCTTCTCAGAGTCTATTTTTCTCCTGCAGAACAAGAGTTGTATAAGATGTCACAATAG